GCTAATTTATTTGGGTGACGTTTCGAAGAGTATTCTCTCAACATTATATAGAAGTATACTTTCATTAGACCTTATGTTCTATATACTGGAGCGGGTTGGATGGCTGAATGGTTAGCACATGCACGCTGTATCACATGGTCTGTCATTGAGTCAACTGGCGTGGTTTCGATTCCCCGGTTGTACGTGACAAGGAGTAGGGTCGGGTCACCTGTCCAACCTCGTGGGTTTTCTCAGGGTCCTCCGGTTTCCTCCCACCGCTAAAGACCCCTACGTGCCAGAGAATTACTGATATAACATTGAAACAAACATTAGTTCTAAAATGACCTTGTTTGTGTCGAGTGGACGTTAAACTCCATTTCTTTCTCTCTCTCTCTATTAGTAACTGTTTTCTATAAATTATGTTTGCTCGTTAGATCACATGGTATATCATTGAGTAAACTGGTGTCGTCTCGTTTCCCGTTTGTATATGACGAGGAGTTGGGTCGCCTGTCGAACCTCATAGTCCTCTGGTTTCCCTTACTGCTAAAGGGGGGTCACAGTGGCTAAGTGGGTAAGACGCTGGCTCGCTAGCCTGGAGGCTGGGTATTCGATTCCTGCATTGGCCGAGAAAGTTCTTCCTGATTTTCCAGCGTGGTTCCCCCTTGTCAGTGATGCAGGACGGAGGGCCTGACAAGGACAACTGTCTAGTCGTTCAGATGGGACGAAAAACATTGGCGTGCACATTAAAGATCCCTTGACAGTTGGAATTCAATATAAGAGTAGGCTATAGTGCCGCTGTCTGGGCAAAATTTCCCTCATAGCATACAGCCTGTATGGTGTATGCCTGTCTTCATTAGCCCAGTTCGAAGCAGAACAGTAGGATGTTAAACCCCATTCCATTTTATTTCATTTCATTTCCCACTGCTAAAAGTAAAGACCCCTATGTTCAAGAGAATTATTGAAATAAAATTGAACCATATGTGAGAAATGACCTTGTTTGTGTCAAGTGGAGTTAAACTCTCTCTCTTTCTCTCTCTCTCTCTCTCTCTCTCACTCTCTCTCTTTAAACAATGACCTGTTAATATTAACCCCTTACTGTTAATAATTACCGGTAAAAGTTGATAACAATTGTCTATTAGTTCATTTGATTAATTACCGATCACTTACTGTCTGTTTCCGTCTGGTTTGGGGGATCAATTTATTTCTGATCAAAGATCACATGGTAATTATTGCGTCTGCTGATCTTGTGATCATCAAAGGTTTTCACCTCATTAATTATACAGGCCTGTGTAATTTTGACTCGAACATGAAAGGGGTCTGAACAGTAAGGTGCCTAAATTAGGGAAATCAAAAGTATTATTAAGGAAATAATTAGATAGGTGTAACTATATGACCCCTAGTGTGAAACGCCTCATAAAGTAAAGATCCCTATTATTGAAAACATAGGGGTTGTTACTTATCTTAGTTTTGTTGACTGTTGTATTGAGGCCTTAAAAATTTGATTTTCTGCTCTTTGGGAAAACCCGTAGTAATTTACCTTCTTAATTCATCAGGAAAAAGACATTTTTTAAAAAACAAAACGTTTTTGGTTCTGCTGTTCAAAGGCTTTTAGTTCCTAAATTTTAATTTTTGAAATTTTAAACATCTTTCACATGATTCAAGTGGTTATTTGTTTATCAACACTCTGAAAAACAGAAAATCACATTGGTATGGCCTGATTGATTTACTAACATAAGACTGCCCTATTTACTTGTACAGATTTATAACAGATCACCATCTTCTATTCATAATCACCAATTTCAGCCATCTAATCTATGACTTGTACAGATGGATGGTAATGTATAAACAAACATATGAATGATGTCAGGACACACTTTTCTTGTCAGACGATACCTCTAAGTTAAGATACCGGAACATCTAGTAACAAGTCCAGTTCTCTGTCTCCTCAACTATCTTCTTCTCTGTTTCCATCGATGGTGATATCACAGACGAGTTGTCTTATTTTGTTATGTTTAGTACACGCGCAGGGGTCTTTCTTGTAGGAGGAAACCGGATTACCCATCAGGTTGAGAGAAATTGAACCATATGTTAGTCTCGAAATGACCTAATTTGTGTTGAGTGGACATTACCCTCTCTCTCTCCCTCTTCATAGACAAAGGCACAAAAACCTTATTAGTAATAGCATCCAAGTTGTGTGATAGAAAGGTGTTTTAATTATAGAAATCAGAGACAATTATTACCTGTATAATTATAGATAAGTGTTGTTTTATAATCTACACTTGTTAAATACCCTATCCAATAACACCTGATGACAATAGATATATATATATTGTTGTAAATAACACCCATATAAGTATATTATTATATACATTGTTGTAAGTTGTATGTATGTAAGTAAATAGAGATTTACATGGGTTATAAAACACTGAGTTATTATGTTGTAAAATGTTGCAGTAGTTCCCAGATCAAACAATACTAATAAAATTAACCACTGGTATTATTAGACATCAATGGTTACTAATCTCTCTAGGGATAACATCTGATCTTTTTATGACTGCCCATGGTTGATTTATAAGATGGAATGATTTGTAAGATTGTTTACAAGTTTTTTACACAATCTGTAGATTTACTTCTTCAATAGATCAAAGTCTGTTAGAATCAACAACATATCATTCATTCATTCATTCATTCATTCATTCCCAGTTACACACCTGCAGAAGTTGTTAATTGGTTATCTTATAATAAATTAGATGTAAATATAAAATGATGCTACCTGCTAGACTTGTTACACCTGCCACACAAAGGTATTATAAACCTGTAATTTACTCTACAATTAACACAAATCATGAAATAGATTTCAAATATTTCTATGTCAACAAAGGTGATTGTTGACTTGTACAATAACAAATAAATCAGCTCATATCAATTAAATCTTCTAGATATTTTTGAGTATAGGTAATGAATCTATCAATTTATTTATCTATGTGTGAGTAAAGTTATGGAATCTTTCAGTTTATTTATCTATGTGTGAGTAAAGTTATGGAATCTTTCAGTTTATTTATCTATGTGTGAGTAAAGATATGGAATCTATCAATTTATTTATCTAATTGTGAGTAAAAATCTATCAATTTATTTATCTATTTGTGAGTAAAGATATGGAATCTATCAATTTATTTATCTATTTGTGAGTAAAGTTATGGAATCTATCAGTTTATTTATCTATTTGTGAGTAAAGATATGGAATCTATCAATTTATTTATCTATTTGTGGGTAAAGATATGGAATCTATCAATATTTTGTTTATCTATTTGTGAGTAAAGTTATGGAATTTATCAGTTTATTTATCTATTTGTGAGTTGTGGAATCTGTCAATTTGTTTATTTATTTGTGAGTAAAGTTATGAAATCTATCATTTTTTTTTTACCTATTTGTGAGTAAAGATATGGATATTAGTTGAAGTTAACGAATCTATCAATTTATTTATTTTGAGTAGATCTAATTCTTCAATGTTACAATATTTGTATAATAAGTGTTTTGTCTATTGTTTTTCTTTTTATTTTTTAAATTGAAACATATATTTATTGGCTAGAGTAATTATTTATTTGACTATTATTGGCTAAAGTAATTGTTAAATTTTTTATAATCAGTTTTTTCTATTGTTTTTTTTTTTAAATTGAAATGTGTTTTTGTTAAACTGTAGTTGACCAGAGTATTGTTGATGATAGTTTAAGTTAATGGTCATTTATAAGAGTATTATTCACTGGTCAGTCATCGAGTTAACAAAGCATTCTCAGACTTAAAATAAGAATTTAATCAACTTTCAATCACTGTTTATGAGAAATATCTTTGATTCAGAAATACAAAACTTTGCACATAGTTTCTTATTGATGTATTTGATACATTAAAACAACAAAAGTTTTATAAATGTTTATATCTTAGTTAAAGATACATTATGGGAGATTCGATAACGAGTTGGCAGTTCTCACTATAATAAATAAATAAATAAATAAATAAATAAATTTATTGAATTTGTATAGCGCCAAAATCCAGCTTGTAAAGCTGCTCAGTGGCACTTGTACTAAAAAATATATATGATTATGAGTACACCATGTAAAACAATACAGATAGAAAGTCATATACAATAAAATAAAACTGTTCGGTAAATAATAATAATTAAAAACTAGATAACGTAAAGGCAATTTGCTGAAATTTCATTCAAATTGATCCACTATGAACCGAAAACTAAGCGAATGAAATTTCTGCCTAGCCTCGGTCATCATTACAAAAATCAGTACGATAAACAGCATAGTCTCGATTATCCATTTAATCGTTTAATCGTTTAATCGAGAAGGAAAGTTATGCAGTAAATCGGCTCACACTCCACTTAAGATCGCAGGCTAGCGATGCCATCTAGAGTTGATTATGTTCTGAATAGGTTAATTAATGTCTAATTAATAATTTAGATAACATTTCAGGCCTAAAGAAAGACCTGCAATAAGCAGATTTAGCTCTTGCATAATGTATGTTTAACATAAGGCGAACAATTTTGGGTAAATTCTTAACTTAAGTCTGAGAATGCTTTTGGTTTTAAGAAAATAAATAATTTATTCACCACAAATACATGCAATACTACCAACATTGCCAGGTCATATAACCTGTAGGATCAAACAGGTTAGTGAGCCAACATCTTACTCACTGAGCCACCATGGCTCCCAGCTTGTTTTTATCATCTTGATACCAGGCTACATAATTTATTATATATTTGGGGTCAGAAAGACAACAATCTAGTCATTTGGATGGGACAAAAAAACGAGATCCCGTGTACACATTGACGTGCACGTAAAAGATCCCGTGGCAGTTTGAATTCAATATATGAGTAGGCCGCAGTGCCGCTTTCTGGGAAAAATTTCTCTCATAGCACACTGTATGGCGTATGCCCTTCTTCATGAGCCCAGTTCGGAGCAGAACAGTAGGACGTTAAACCCCATTTCATTTATTATATATTTTATTATGTATTCCAGGTTGAAGAATACAACACATGATTATTAACTAGACGTACATAAATTGTGTAATGACTGATTGTTACCATGGCGGCCGAGGATCGTGACACAGTCATTGAAAAAGAACTGGATGAAATAAAGAGTAGGGCTCCATCTATTGATGGACTAAAATTAATCGCATGTGTTCCGATGTTGGTCTCGGCCAGCATTACGTAAGTTGAACAAATTAAATTCATCTTTTAAAGGGACCATCCCGATTTGAACAGAGTCTCAGAAATAAAAGTTTGTGTACATATGGAATTTAAGCGCCAAAATATAGAGGAATGGTGTATTTACCCTGTCCCAAAATTTCAGCTCAAAATATTGTGTTGTTTGGATGTGAACGTCAAAACCGCTTATCTAGACATGTATGTGAGCCTTTTAAGATTTCGGTTCAATTTTTTCGTTGGGTGACCTGATAATCTATTACCATTCCTTTAGAGGTCTATGCAGTGAATGACCCTTGTGCTGTACTTGATAACGAAAGGTGAATTTCACCTACACGTTTTTTTTATAAACTGTATAATACAGCTTGGTCTCCATTTCCAGATGACAGGATTATGTTGTTTGAAAACATATCACGTATATTGAGTTAGTTACTCAGTCCTAAGGTAGAGGATTTTAAGGGCTTTTAAAACAAAATTAAGCAGTTTTATTCTCTAAAATATAATCGAGATTGTCCCTTTAATCTGCATGTAAAATACCATGTTACAAATAGAACTAAGATAAATTATATATATAGATACAATTTATAGACCAATTTAAAAGATCAAGTGTATTTAAAATATATATATATATATATATAGATAAAAATAATAGGCCCCATGTCCAAAACGTTTGATTATCAGTAAACCTCTTGGTTACACCTATGGAGTTTGTCTGAATTATACTGGTTTTGTCTCATCTCGCATCGTCTATATTAAAATACAATAAAGAGAGACGGATTGAAATGGAGTTTAAAGTCCACTCGACACAGACTAGGTCATTTCTGGACTAACATATGCTTTAATTTTATTTCAATAATTTGTTTGCGCGTATGGGTCTTTAACAGTGGTAGGAAACCGGAGGACCTGGAGAAAACCCACGAGGTTGGACAGACAACCCTACTCCTTGTCACGTACAACCGGGAATTCAAAACCACGCCAGTTGACTCTATGACAGACTTTATGATACAGCATGCATGTGCTAACCATTCAGTCATAAATTGATGACTAGATATATGTTAATTATAATAATCATAAATTGTTGATGATAAATATAATAATATTGATTCCTTGATAGTCAGAATTCGAATAGACAGAAATACTACTGTTGAGACACAATTTTCCTATTTGATTAGGGGTTGATCTGACTAACTATTTGTTTTTTTATTTCAGTAAAAATGAATATAAACAGTTAACAGCTAATATACAGTTTCCAGCTGACTATCCCCGTGAACCCATTTTAGTACAAATGAAATCTAAACACCTCGAACAGAAATTTACTGATAAACTGGAGAAGATCTGTGAAGAGGAGGCCAAAAAATGGATTGGGGGCCGTCAGGTAAGGGTGATAACTCTCAAGTTTTATTTAGGACTGGGACAGTTTTTAAAATCACGTTAAATTAAACTTCATAATTTTATGAATATTAAATCGAGAATATATGGTGCAGAAAAATAGGACTTTATGAAATGAAATGAAATGAAATGGGGTTTAACGTCCTACTGTTCGGCTCCTAAACTGGTCTAATGAAGATGGGCATACGCCATATAGTGTGCTATGAGGGAAATTTTGCCCGTGCATACTCTTATATCGAATTCCAACTGCCCAGGGATCTTTTACGTGCACGCCGATGTGTACACAGGACCTCGTTTTTTTGTCCCATCTGAACGACTAGACCGCTATCCTTGTCGGGCCCTCCGTCCTGCATCACTGACAAGGGGACATTATGATTGAAGCCTATTTGATTTCTAGAATATATCTCTGTAGATTTCTTTGTTTATATTTGTTGTTGTTTAGGCCTACCAGTAATCACATGGAAGTTAATTCTTTCCATCTTGACATAGACTCATTGTTTTACGATTTTATTTAGAAGTATTTTTTTTTCGAGTAATGTATAAAGCAGACAAGTCTAAGGGGAGATAAGTCAAAACAGAGTTATCCTTTCTAGATGAGAGTAGTAGGTTTTTGTCAGTCTTGTTCAATATTCGACAGTTGTTTGTGGGTGCTCTGGAGGCTAAATTTAATATCTGATTGATTTTAAATATATACACAGTGTTTAAGGTCATGTCACGAAGAGGCCTATTGTTTTTCAACCATTTCCAATAATTACTGTCAGAGTTATAGTCCTTGATCACTTTGAAATATCTTGTGGACTCTACTGAGGGAAAGGTTAAAATCCAATTGACTTTATATTAATACACAGTGTTTAAGATCATGAAACGAAGAGGTCTATTGATTTTCAACGATTTCTGATAATTATTACCAGAGCTATAACCCTTGATATTAAATGTTTTGTATATTAAACGTTAGCATAGGGCAGTTGTTAATATGTTTTCATTACTGATATAAATAAGACTTAGCTGCTGTGGACGTATGTTCTGTTGCCTAGCAACCTATCTTTCATCGAGTAGGTAATTATCAACAGGGTTATTGCCCTTTACTTCAAAAATCGAGTAGCCAGATTGGGGAATAATTTGTAACCGAAATTGATAAAAACACATCCGTCATCATCATCTTCAATTTTATTATTAACTTCATTATTATTATTATTATTACAGGTGCTTGTGTTATTGAAGTTTATTCGGACATTTTTAGAGGAGAATTCATTGTGTGTTTGTAGTGAAGAGATTGTATATATTAAACGTGAATTGATCGGTGAATCGGACGAAATCAAACTCAAACAAAAAGCGTCACAAATTGTGATAAAAGTCAGACAGAAAAACTATTTTATGAATCTAAATATAAGTGTACCAGATCTCTACCCAAAACATCAGATACAGTAAGTTTTATCCATATTATTACTACTTGTCTGTATTCGTAAACAAACATGGATGCTCCCATGTGGTTAATTAAAGGGCATATAACTCTATTCTTTGGAATCTTAAAATAGATTAAAATTAAAATGGTTTGAAAAGCAAATTTGATTGTAATTTCTAATTAATTATGTTTGGTGAAGTGCATGAACTGTCCAAATTGAATCTCAGTTGTTTTGCACCTGGTTAATCCAGTCTACATGTTTATCTTTTCTCTTTTTGTTGTGTGAAAATCAGAGGTCCTGCTTAGATATTGGCGAGCATGTAATACAACCCTTGACAGATGGAATAAGCAGACGTCATAGTGCCGCTGTCTGGGCAAAATTCCTCTCAGAGCACACTGTATGGCGTATGCCCGTCTTCAATAGCCCAGTTGGAGTAGGACATTAAACCCCATTTCATTTCTATATTATCTATGGTGTGATAGTTTTGACTATAAATATTAAAATGTTTACATTGTTTTACAGAACTGAATTAATCGATACAAACTTACCTGATCTACTAAAAATAAATTTTATGGCTCAAGCGAAAGAATTAGCAAGACAATGTGTTACTCCTCCGTTATTAAAACATTCAAAATCGTAAGTTTTACTTTTCCCATTAAAAAAATTGTGATGAACATGAAGGTTTGTGGTCTAAGGGGAGATAATTTAGGGTTAAAACAGAGTTATCTCAGTTCTGACTAGATATTAAGATTTAGTTCTTGGAGTCTTGTGAATAATGGTTTATTTGTCATGAATATGAAGGTTTGTGGTCTAAGGGGAGATAATTTAGGGTTAAAACAGAGTTATCTCAGTTCTGACTAGATATTAAGATTTAGTTCATAGAGTCTTGTGAATAATGTTTTATTTGTCATGAATATGAAGGTTTGTGGTCTAAGGGGAGATAATTTAGGGTTAAAACAGATTTATCTCAGTTCTGACTAGATATAGTAAGGTTTAGTTCTTAGAGTCTTGTGAATAATGGTTTATTTGAAATTTTCAAATTTACAAATAGAGGAACCATGTTTTTTTTGGTTTTTTTTTAATTTAAAAATGAGTTTTTTCCTGAAGAAATAAGAAGCAGAATTTTGATTGGTGTTCCAAGGGTGTGGTCCATAGGCATGTTTGATAAGACTATTGTGTATTTCTATGTCAGCCATACATGAATTTGGTTGGGGGTTGATTTTATTATTCTGAATGAATTCTTATAAATCTGATTGTATTTGACAAGAAACCAACTTACATGAAAAGTTGAAATTTAAAATAATACTGTTTGAATTTAGATGTAATGAAACATATTTGGCTTCACTGACTAGTTGATGGACTGGAGAACTTAGAAATTAGAATTTCTTGGAATTGATCCTTAAAATACAATATATACGATTACAATTATAGTTTTTTTGTGTGTAAAAACAATACAAAATAAAAATATGTAGAAAATTGGAGTGATGTTAAAAATTGTCACTGTGAAAAAAACCATATTTTGATAAACTGAGGTAAACAGTTTTTGTGAAAAATTGGAGTGTCATTCTTTGAAAAAAACCAATATGTTGATAAACCAAGGTTAACAAAATCTGTCAAAAATTGACCTGCTGGCAGAAATCTCAAGTAAAATGAGACATCGCCTGTCCAGCCTCCGGTTTCCTCCAGCTGCTAAAGACCCCTACATGCAAGCGAATTATTGAAATAAAATTCAAACCGTGTGTCAGTCCGAAATGACCTAGTTTGTGTTGAGTGGACATTAAACCCCATTTCTCTCTCTCTCTCTAAATGAGACAAGCTATTCTTGTGGTCTAAGGGGAGATAATTTCTGGTATTGACAGAGTTATCTTATTCTCTTAGTATTTAAAAAATTTATTTTTTATTTCGAATATTTTAATATCATAAATCAATATATAAGAAGGATAATAACTTCATGGGTTCTTCCTCTTGATAAGTTTTTAGCATCTTTTAAAGGCAGTCTCCAAACGATAAATGTGACTGCTCGGACAGCGGTTGTGGACTGCTCGGACAGCGGTTGTGGGCTGCTCGGCAAGCCGTTGTGGACTGCTTGGACAGCCGTTGTGGACTGTGGGCGTATGTTTTATTGTATGGCAACCTATATTTTGTTTATGTTTTTCAGAGGTGCCGTATTCGAACATAAACCCTCATTAAAAGTTGTTTGTAATTATTTGATACGTGACTGTGTCAAGAGATATCCACTTGAAAACTGTCCACTGTGTAAAAAACATGTTTTAGCTGAAGATCCTGAGGTAATCTTTTTTTTATATTTAATTGTCTAATAACCAAAGAGTATTAATTCTCTAACAACAAACTAGACAAAGACTGTATAATATTAATAATGGTTTAATCTGGGATGCAGCCATTTATAACCTAGCTATAGACAAAATGCTGCACCCTTGGAAACACAAAAAGTACAATTTGTTCCATGGAAGCACAAAAACTGTTAAATCTGTGAAATTGATATAAAAAAAAGTACAATTTGTTTCCATGGAAACACAAAAACTATTAAATCTATGAAATTTGAAATTTTCAAGAGGCAGAACTACTACAATAGTAGGATGACCCGTGCACTTTACAGAAAGTTGGTCTCGACACGGCTTAATGTGCATGCTTCAGTTGCGTGTCTCGAACTGATTTCTGACTACCCCGCACTCGCTTTGAGTCGATAAATAGCCATGGCACGTGCAATTCTCTACAAATATATCAACTATTACAGCCGTAAAAAATCTATTGTTGACGATTTTGAATAGCAGTAAAATTTAGCTTCTTGGTTATTACAGCAGCTTTAGTAATTACGTTTGTTTTATTTTTTAAATTGCTTTATCATTAACTGTACCATTAAGAGCGGCATCTTTTGGTTTAGTATAAATACTATCTCTGAATCACTTTCTTTAGCAGGAACATGATACTAGCAGTAGTTTCATTTTACTTTTACAAGTTTCTTAAAACAATTGTTGAGTTGTCTAAAGTGCTTATTTCTAAATTCAATTTCTTGTTCTAGCTTTCTGTTATGTTTCGTAAAAAAGTAGTCTTGATTATCCCGACCTGTCAATCAGACGTAGAATGGTCGATAGACTGGTTAAGCGAGACTAATTTCAAAACAAGGGCACGTAACCTATCTTTTACTCAAAAGTGTCTGGATGTTATGGACGCAACTTGGAACCAGTTTTCAGTCTAGTATTTATAGATGATTAATGGTCATAGCTTATTAAGTACAACATGATCGTTTATTTAGTGACTATAATTGTGTGAAACTGATTTGAGGCTTGGCATATATATAAATATTGTGGCGTAATTGTCGAGATATTTGGAGATATTTATTTATGGTGGGTCACCCTAACAATAGGTTATTTCGCGTGGAAAGTTTTTTTTAAGATATCTTGAACGGTTTAAGAAATATGGGCCTCCAGACTGGAGAAACAAGACAAAGCCTGAAATCTTTCGATGGGCCTCTTTTAATTTGATTGAAATGAAGCCAGGAGATTATACCACTGTTAATATTCTGATTTTATTTTCTTAATTAAATTAAATGTGAAATAATCAATTTGAGTACAGGTACAAAGCTGTGAACAATTAGATAATGTGTGAAAAATTATCAAGTTTAGTCATGCTAGAAACCCTTTTTTATTTTATTACTGAAAATATTTTATTTCAGAATCAACTGAAAGGTCGGAAAAATCAAATAGAGAGAGTTTATTGTGGTCATCTTTTTCATAATGGTTGTTTAGATGTGTACATGAAAACACCTCCATTTATAGGTAAATATTTATACTTCTGGGAGTCATGGGGACCATCTTCATTTCCTCAGTTCAGGCCCGTAGCCAGACCATAGCTCTAAAATACCTACTGTAGACTGTACCGGGTATGCCAACCCCCCCTAAAAACTTCACTGCCCCTCCGAAGCTAGCAAGCTGGCTACGGGCCTGCCTCAGTTGGTGAAGAAAACTAAAACTTCAAACCCCACTTCATGTCCAATTATTATAATTCGCTTAAATGGTATGGTTATTAAGTGTTACTTGGGTCTTCTATTTTGTTTTGTTTTAATGGAAGCGTGGCGTGCGATCGTCTTTATTACCTCATTTGATGAAGAAAACTAAAACGTCAAACCCGATTTCATATCATATAGTTATAATTCGCTTTAATGGTATGGTTATTAACTGTTACTTGTGATTTCTATTGGTTTTGTTTTGTTTAATGAAAGCGTGGCGTGTGACCGTCTTCAATACCTCAGTTTAAAACTTCAAATTTGGAATTTTGTGGAAGACTAGGTGTCAAATGCCGCTATCTGGGCCAAATTTCCCTCATAGCACACTGTATGGCGCATGTCCGTCTTCATTAGCCCAGTAGAAGCAGAAAAGTAGGACGTTAAACCCTATTTCATGTTATATCACTAGGCATGTCGGGTCCTCCGGTTTCCTCCCACTACTAAAGACCCCTACGCGCATGCAAATTATTGAAATAAAATTGAACCATGTGTTAGTCCCAAAATGACCTAGTTTGTGTCAAGTGGACGTTAAACCCCATTTCTCTCTCTCTCACTAGGCATGTCTCCTTCAGCTTGTGCTTTTTAAGACTTAGCTTATGTTTTTTTTTTCAGGAGGTAAAAAATGTCCTTCCTGTGATAAACGAATTTATCATGAAAAATGGAAAGTGTCCGCTGAAGTAATGGAGAACAGATGGGCACATAAACAAGCTAAACAAAGAGAACTAGAAGAAGTTGTAGATTTCTTAAAAGATTGAAAAAATTTATAATACACTTCTACCAAATACTTAAAATTTACTAACAAAAATATTTATTTACATTTTATTCAATGCCTCTGACATTTGAGAGATTGAGGAATTGTAAAAATTGAATCTCTGAAAGGCTTATCAGTCCATAAACTTCTGTTGAGTAATTACAAAGATATGATGAATATAAAAATTTGTCAATATTCGGAGTCCTCTACAGATGATATAAATGGGATATTATCAAAGTCAAGGCCACCTGTGATCTTCGTTAAAATCTTCTGATTGCTCTCTGTTTAATCGAACTCGGGAGATTTTTTAACGTTAATTCAATCTGATTAAAACACAGATCCAATTTTGTTTCGTTTTTATAGTTTTAAATTTCGATTTTACTTGTCTTTACTACACTTGGATCTGGAAGCGTTGTTATTTAACTCATGTTCTGCTTGAAATGAGAGGTCAGCCAATCAAATGGTCTGTCGAATCGAGCGTTTGACCTTTTTTGCACGGAACTGTGGGTAGACATTAGCGGCAATAGAAATCAAAACAAAACAAAAGTAGATAAGAAATACATGGCGGTTGTTAATTGAATGACTGACGTAATCGGGTCAAATGTGGCTTGCTTGGTACCTGACGTCATAGAACGTGAACTCCCGCTATAACTTGTTAGATCTACATGTAGTGTAGGCTATCGAAAGTATAAAAAACGAAACGAAATATAGATCTATATTTTAATTAGATTGACGTTAATTTTGCTTTTTTTAAAGATGCACTATATAAGATTTAGATAAAGAGCTGATAGTTCTCGCTATAATAGTTCTCGTTGCTTGTAGTGAGCCTATAGGAGGCATGAATCAAGCCCTTGTCTATGTTTTAAAAACATTTTTATAACCTGACACCTATCTTACAAATTATAAATAGTATTTATTAGTTAATAAACCAATGTAATATTGTTTTTAAATCATTTATATAATAAAAAAAACCTGACATCCCAGTGTGTACATATTTGTGTGCACGTGAAACAACCATTGACAGTTGGAAATCGAGGAAGAGGTTCGTGGAAAAGTCGCGGTCTGAGCAAAATTCTACTACCTCGCATTGCCCATAAAACCATAGAAATAAACATTACAATATGTTTGTAACATCCCACACCCCACCCTCGGGACCATTTAACGCTCTCTTCTTCTCCACCAACTAGACACATAAAGACTTGCATATGTCATTAAGAAGGAGGGTTATAGCGTTGTTGCTATCGGTAATCAATCACCTTGGAAACAAAATGATCTGTAATATACTGCAACATATATTTCACATAAGTTTCTTTCAAGCTTTCTGGGGGGTTGGATGGCCGAATGGTTAGCTCATGTGTGTTGTATCATAAGGTCTGTCATTGAGTCAAATGATGTTGTTTCGATTCCCTGGTTGTACGTGACAAGGAGTAGGGTCGTCTGTCCAACCACGTGGGTTTTCTATGGGTCCTCTGGTTTCACCCCACTGCTAAAGACCCCTCCGCACAAGCGAATTATTAAAATAAAATTGAAGCATATGTTAGTCCCGAAATGACCTAGTGTGTGTTGAGTGGACGTTAAACCCCATCTCTCTCTGACTTTAAGAGAAAAGTTATTTCAATTATTGGATAATTGTGTTTGTAAGGAATTAAGCAAAGCAAATGTTTGAATTTTATTTGTAAAAAATAATAATTACTGGTGAACTCTTAGTGAACACGGTTGATTCGCAATTCACAATTGAGCGGAAACAGAACGCTCTCCACTACGGTTTGGTCACCTGGCCCCAAGTTCAAAAAGTATTCTCAGACTTAAGAATTTACTCAACTTTCAATCACTGTTTATGAGAAATATCTTTGATTCAGAAACACAAAACTTTGCACATTGATGTATTTGATACATTAAAACATCAAAAGTTTTATAAAAAGCTATATTTTAGTTGAAATAAGGTGAAAGTTTCTTATTGATGTATTTGATATATTAAAACAACAAAAGTTTTATAAATGGCTATATTTTAGTTCAAATATTAAATTCTTAAGTCTGAGAATGCTTTGTGAACTTGGGGCCTGGATAGCTAAAAATCTGTTCATGAGGGCACCACACATAACACCCATAAGACAAATCTGCGTACAAGATATACAATAATTACACACACATTGATAGTTATAAACAACAAACATACATATAATATTAATTAAATTGATCCCGGGTCCTGGTAAATCCTGATAGCACATATATTGTCATATTATTGGTATCAACAGCTGGGTTCTATCATAACAATCGGCAATGAATGTCGAGGCGTCGAATTCAGCGCACTGTCTGTTCACCTAATGCCATGGGTGGAACAAATTAAGCTTATGAAACAAATGAGAACTTGACTTTCGCATAACGGCACTGATGAATGGCGATATGTTGGACCTCTGCCTCACCGCTGGACAAATGTTAGGAGCTCTTTCACTGGATTCCGGGACAAAGAGGTCCTTCTATAAATCTGGGCCTTTTCTTGGATTAGGGGCCCGTCTATTGGACTCGGAGGGTCAATGCCACAGAGGGTCTATTTTAAATTTTCTCCCTGAATTCAGCGTTTTCTTTCGTGTTTATTTTTTTGGCGATTTTAGTTGTATTTTCTTGGACTTGCACTGAAATCAGAGAGGCCCTTTTCTGATTCAGGAGCCTTCCTTCGACCTCAAGGGATCCATATCAATTTTGACGCCGAATTCAGTGTTTTCTTTCAGTTTTATATTTGGCGATTTTCAATTTTATTTTCTGGTCGGTGGGTAGCGCTTCTGCTATAATGTGGTCGTATATTGTCGTCGCCCCCCGTCCGTCCACAATTGCTTGTGGACGCTCTAGAGGCTAAAGTTAATATCTGATTGACTTTAAATTTATACACAGTGTTTAAGGTCACGAGATGAAGAAGCCTATTGGTTTTCAGCAATTTCCGATAATTACTGCCATTTAATATCTGTATTGTGGATGCTCTATAGGCCAAAGTTATTATCCGATTAACTTTAAATTTATACAGTGTTTAAGGTCATGCGATGAAGAATCCTATTATTTTCAGCAATAATTATTGTCGGAGTTATGTCCCTTGACCATTTCAAAATATCTTATGGATGCTCTAAGAGGCTAAAGTTATCATCCGATTGACTTCAGATTGATACAGAGTTTAAGGTCATGAGACAAACAAGTATATTGATTTCAATGAATTTTGATAACTTGAACAGCTAAATCCATGATATTAAATGTTTCATATACTAAACGTTAGCATGGGGCAGAACTAAAAGCCAAACAAATTCTAATGATTCTCTGATAATTACTTAATGAGTTGGTACTCTTAATCAGATTTTAGTGTATTATGAATTTTTCATTACCAAACGAAAGTAAAAATATGCGACTACTGTTGTTGACTGCCCGGACGATTTAGCTGCTGTGGGTGTGTTTCATTGCCTGGCAACCTATCTTTGATGCAGCGTGGACATACCCAGTGTTTATTGAACCCACGAACCCCTGCCTAGAATCCAAGTGCTAGGAAATTTGTGACATGGTTTAACTTAACTCAATAAGCCAACATAAAAAGTTGAACTTTGGCATGTTTAAAACTTATGCCTCTATAGCTTCGGTAAAATAAAGATCTTCGAGCCACCAAAGCCAGTTTAGAAGTTAATGTGCGCGCAGTGAGTCTACCCTATTCCCCCCCCCACCCATATTTCAAGAGTTTTTACGGTAATTTATCTCGAAAATGCAACAGAGGAGTCTTCCGGAAGTTTGCAATCTAGTAGTTTATGCTCATCTTCGAACTCCATCAAGGCCTTGACCCAATCAACACCTACACCAAGTTTGAACGTTCTAGCTCAATTAGGAGAGTTATTGTGTTCCATAATCTTGGCCAATCAAATTGCTTATCGCTCTGCTTACCCTGAGCAGAAAATGCTCATTATCGAACTTAGTCAAGGTATTGATGTAATGAAACTATACACCAAGTTTCATCTCTCTCACTTAATTAAAACCAAAGTTATCGTGTCCCAAAGCATCAATCAATCAAATTGCTTATCTCCACTTACCCTAAGCGGAATATGCTCATCTTCGAACTCCATCAAGTTATTGACCTAATAAACACTTACACCAAGTTTGAACATTCTAGCTCAATTAGAAAGAGTTATTGTGACCCCAAAAGTGTGACAGACGGATGGACGGACAGATAAATATATTAAGGTTTTTATTGGCGCTAGGAATATTTTTGCTAACTTAACTTTGAATCCAGGTGCTGACCAGGTGAGAGATTCACTTCGGTGATGTTTTTCAATATTTTGCCTATTGCGGACCTTTCTCCGACCAATATGTTTTAGCAAAGTGACCTCGAGTTACTCCATATCACGTTGTGCACTATGTGTCTTTCAAACTCACATGGTATCTGAACGTAAAGGCATGGCAGGGTCTCTTTTATAGGAATCATATTGACATTAGCCTTGAAGTCTATCACGCTCAGATCAGGTTATTTAAAACACTGGATCTGTCCAATTACTGATATGATTGGATGGTTACAGTGTATGATGATGCAATTAGTAAATTTCTAATCACGCGTATTTTACACAATAAAAATGAAATAAAATTTAACGTCCTACTGTTCTGCTCTGAACTAATGAAGATGGGCATACGCCATACAGTGTGCTATGAGGGAAATTTGGCCTGGACAGCAGCACTACAGTCTACTCTTATATCGAATTCCAACTGTCAACTTTCACAACCATCCATCCCACAGTTATGTCCCTTTTTCAGAAAACCATGTGAATGTGACAGTGGATATGGTTTTGAATGGATTTGTTCATATCTGGTTTGAAGCCTTGGGGTAAAATGAAATGACAATATTCAGTTTTGCAACATTCTGTTCCTGAGTCACCCGTCTTTTCACTGTTCTATCCACTGTTTTATCTGCACAGCAGTGTTTTTTGTCCCACCCAAATGTGTAGACTGTTCCTTTGCACTGGAATCGAACTCTCAACCTCCTTGTAAGTCAACCAAGGTTCCCGGATAAATTTAAGTAAAACATTTTGTACGAGTGTTATCGAAACTAGAAAATCACAGTTATACACTAAATCAAAACCCAATAAGAATACCATGGCTAATCTTCTCCTGTGCGGCTGACAAGTAGATTGGATTGGATGAAAAACCGAGGTCTAGTCGTGAACACTGTAGCAAGCATGTAAAAAGACTGCTAACAGTGATTTACCAACAAACATAATATAATGTTTATTTCTATGGTTTTATGGGCAATGCGAGGTAGAAGAATTTTGCCCAGACAGCGGCCTTTCCATGAACCTCTTTCTTGATTTCCAACAGATAATGGCACTCTTAGGTGCCCACTAATATGTACACAGATGGATTTCAGATTTCATTATATATTATTATTTGTGTTTGAATACAGCAGCTCTGAAAAACATAAGCAAAACATAGGTTATCAAGGTATTGTTTATACAATTTTTAACATTATCCCCATTTTTTTTATAGATATATTTAGTAGTGTTTTAATACATAGAAACTATCAATTTAACTGTATGTATTGTATTTTAAGCTTAAATTCTTAGAAATTGTATTTTTTTTCACAGTGCCAGTTGGTCAAATGGACTAAATTCTACTTCTATTATCATCCAGAAAGGATAACTCTATTTTTACAAATCACATTTTTATTTTTTTAATATTTCTAAATAAAATCATAAATAATGAATCTATGTCAAGATAGACAGAATTAACTTCCATGTGATCACTGGTAAACAACAACAAATATAAACAAAGAAATCTGGAGAGATATATTCTAGAAATCAAATAGGCTTTAATCATTTAATGATATTGGATATTTTTAACTCTCATGAGAAAAGTGGAAGTCAATTTATAAAATCAAAAATAATTCAATTTTTCTTACCTTCTATAGTAAATATATTATTTTCTGAATTATGTGGGGTATTCAGTTTGAACGGCTGTAGATAAATTTAGTTTTACATCCATACTGGCCGGTTGTCTTCTATTATTACAGGTTCAACATCATTTCAAATATTATTCTATTCCTCTCCAATCATATCTCTTGGTTAATGTAATTCACTGTGTTATTATTTAAAAGAATGTTGTATTAAAGTTGACTTTCCTGACCAACAAAACATCACATCAGTTGATTTTCTATTCATGTTATTCAACCTGGTAATAATACTTTCAATTTGTTTATAGATTTAATGTGACCTACTGAATTGTAATCACGTTTTACTAGTTTTAATGGCAGGTAGGTGGCCTGTCTATGTACAGAATGTTGTTGATATTGACAAAAAATGATTTATAATAAATTTACATCAAAATAAAACAAAACATTTTCATTTAGTCCTAACATACTTATTAACTACAAAAATAAAGATGTTGTATGATTATTTATATTCTATTTATCAAAGGCCTATTTCGCGTAAAAATGATTCACATTCTGTTTTACCAAACATACGAGCCCAGTCTAATAAATTACCATCATCACTCTTGACATCTAACATCGCACCAGCAGAAGAGAGTAATTTTACTTTCTCTACTGGGTTTATTTCAGACCTAACACAATAAAATACTGGCGTCCTATTACCACCATCCCTACCATCTTTATCAAGCCCTACTTCTAGCAAATATTCTAGACAGTCTGTTGTACTAAACTGACATGCATAGTGTAATATATTACGACCATCATAACGAGTTTTAACATCTAACCTGGCACCAGAAGAGTAAAGTAACTTTACCTTCTCTAATGGTTTTATTTTAGAATGAACACAGTAAAATACTGGTGTTAGACCCAGATCGTCAGGATTATTTAAATCTATGTTTTTATTTATTAAACTGTTGACTTCATCAAGTGTACCATATCGACAAGTATCATATATTGATTTTGTGTTAATTATATTTTTGTCAGTTGTTTTATTAGATTTAGTTGTTATTGCATCCTGAGTAGTATTATTATTTTCATACATAACAAATGGTTGGTGTAATACAGGAGTTATTGATGTGGTGGCCATATTATTGTTTTGTACAGATGTCTGGTTATAATTTACATCATCTGAAATTATATAATATTCATACTAGTTGATTACCTGTTCGTATATACCGTTCTGGTGGTGGTTAAAAACCCTGGCCATCTTTAAACTAGGTTATCATTGTTGTCTGAACGTACAAGTGGAGTAAATAATCCAGTTTGGATGGCCGAATGGTTAGCGTGTGCGCGCTGTATCATAAGGTCTGTCATTGAATCGACTGGCAGGGTTTCGATTCCCCGGTTGTATGTAACAAGTAGGGTGGCCTGTCCAACCTTGTGGGATTTTTCCAGGTCCTCCGGTTTCCTACCACTGCTTAAGACCCCTACGTGCAAATGAATTATTAAAATAAAATTGAACCATATGTTAGTCCTGAAATGACCTAGTTTGTGTTGAGTGGACGTTAAACACCATTTCTCTCTCTTTTCCCATCTGAATTGACTTCAGTTAGCTTTGTGCCTGGCGCCTGCACATTTCCGTATTTTACTATTGTGGTTTCGAATAGAAAAACAACCTGTCAAAGCTAACACTTAAGTCTGTGTGAAAGATATACAACCCTGGCTTAAAAACACCCCGACTAGAAAATTGCTTGCCATTTTTTCAATTGGTCATTAAAATGGCTAAATCGTAATGATATACCTGGAATTGTCAACCCTCTGCTTTCTTCATCTATTGGTAAGTGATCATCTGTATCATCAGTATCTGTAATAGAAAGATATATATTAGTAAAGTGCAGAAGAACCATACCATATAAACAAAGATAGGTTGCCAGACAATGAAACATACACACACAGCAGCTGAGTTGTCTTTACAGTCAACACAGGTTGTCGCATATTTTGTGTCGGTAATTAAAACATTTTCAACCCACTAAAATTCGATTTAGAGCAATAAAACAACCCATTAAGCTATTATAAGAAATCATCGGAAATTTTATTTCACTGATCAAATGGACATGGGTTACCATAAGCATATTACAGACAAAAGAAATGAAATGAAATGGGGTTTAACGTCCTACTGTTCTGCTCCTATGCTAGGCTAATGAAGACGGGCATACGCCATACAGTGTGCTATGAGGGAAATTTTGCCCGGGCAGCGGCACTATCGCCTACTCTTATTTCGAATTCCAACTGCCAAGGGATCTTTTACGTGCATTCCAATGTATACACGGTACCTCGGTTTTTTCGTGTCATCCGAAGGACTAGGCAGCTGTCCTTGTACAGACAAAAGAGAATTGTCATCTTTATAAAATTGTTTAATTAGTTAATACTCAGACAATATTGTCGAAAAGTTTGAATTTTAGTGTAGGTTTCTTATTTAGCATCTTTCTTAATAGTGAAAGAAATAAAACGTTTTGTTGTAAAGCTGTATGACGCCATGACGTCTTAGTTTTTATGGTGTCATAGTTGGGACCCAAAATGACATCTGGAAACGAGTTGTCATAACTTTCCCTATAAAGGGCTTTGAAAAAATCTAGACTATGGTGTATTACGTCACATGGTACAATATCTAGACTAGTATGTATTACATCACGTGATACAATATCTGGACTATGGTGTATTACGTCACGTGGTACAATATCTAGACTAGGATGTATTACATCACGTGATACAATATCTAGACTGTGTGTATTACATCACATGGTACAATATCTAGACTGTGTGTATTACATCACGTGATACAATATCTAGACTAGGATGTATTACATCACGTGATACAATATCTGGACTATGGTGTATTACGTCACGTGGTACAATATCTAGACTAGGATGTATTACATCACGTGATACAATATCTGGTCTATGGTGTATTACATCACATGGTACAATATCTAGACTGTGTGTATTACATCACGTGATACAATATCTAGACTGTGTGTATTACATCACGTGATACAATATCTGGACTATGGTGTATAACATCACATGGTAAAATATCTAGACTGTGTGTATTACATCACGTGGTACAATATCTAGACTAGGATGTATTACATCACGTGATACAATATCTGGACTATGGTGTATTATGTCACGTGGTACAATATCTAGACTATGGTGTATTACGTCACATGGTACAATATCTAGACTATGATGTATTGTGTCACATGGTACAATATCTAGACTACCGTGTATTACGTCACGTGATATAAATGTAGACTATGATGTATTACATCATGTGGTATAAATGTAGACTATGATGTATTGTGTCACGTGGTACAATATCTAGACTATGATGTATTGTGTCACGTGGTATAATATCCAGACTATAATATATTGTGTCACATGGTATAATATCTAGACTATGAAGTATACTACTTACCTTCTAAGAAATCATCTACCAATTCATTGTATCCCATTTCTCTCAAGCATTCCTTAAACTTATTAAACACAACTTCCTCCCGTTCACAAAGAACATCTATCAGAGACGATATCCCTACTTCTGGATTGTTCTCGCTAATGACTTTTTGAATTGCCTTTGCTTCAAATGCTTGTAATGCCCACTTTTCACGTAATCTTGCAATAAGATCTTGTATATGGTCAGCCAGCACAGACATAAATTTCCGTCTGTTTCCATTGAGCTTTTGTTTATATTTAGCATCATAATCTGAAAGGAATAAAAAGATAGGTTGTCAGGAAACTAAACATATGCCTAGAAAAGTTAACAATTACTCGATCTGATTTCAATAAGTTGCAAAAAATGTATCTTCGATGCTGCAGTATGTACAGCAATGAAATGAAATGAAATGAATGGAGTTTAACGTCCTACTGTTCTGCTCCTAAACTGGGCTAATGAAGACGGACATACGCCATACAGTGTGCTATGAGGGAAATTTTGCCCGGGCAGTGGCACTTCAGCCTACTCTTATATCGAATTCCAACTGGGATCTTTTACGTGCACGCCAATGTGTACACGGGACCTCGGTTTTTTTTTTGTCCTTTCCGAACGACTAGACAGCTGTCCTTGTCAGGCCCTCCGTCCTGCATCACTGACAAGGGGAAACCACGTCGGAAAATATGGATGAACTTTCTCGGCCAATGCAGGTATCGAACACCCGTCCTCCAGGCTACAAGCCAGCATCTTACCCACTGATGTTTGTAGAGCAGGCCTGGGTTAATTCTGATTTCAGTGGAAAGGTAAAGTAATCATTACACAAGTTTGAAGTATTAGACATCTAATGGATAATACGACATTTCAAATTGCTAAAATGAAATTAGTTTTTTCTTTCTAAAAGCCTTATATTTCTATATACTTTTACCTGAGAGCAGAATCATTTATATACATGTATAATACTCTTCAAAAAAAGTAGGGGATATGGAAATGGAAATACCTATGCAGGTTGTGATATGATAAATAGTCATGGACACTTGACATGCTTTGAGAGTATGTTCACAGATTAAGAACTTATCACCCCAACAGAACCACTGAGCTGCACATGCGACACGTGGGAGGGGTTCATTGTCAAATTTGACACTGCAAGGAAGGGTTGATGAAAATTGCTGCATGCTGTTTTATCTATCCATGTTTGCTTTCCTGTCAATTCTTGCATAAGATTTTCTGTTTAGCTTATCTTTGCTTTAGTGTGTTACGTTTAATTTGATCGGAGGACGTTTACGTCAACGGACAACACTGCAAGAATTGGCCGTGGCACTGCAAGAGGGATTGTCCCAAATCGTGATTGGACGGTTGATTAGGAGCATTCCACGACGAATTGCTGAATGTCTGAGGATTGGTGGAGCAATTACTCATTATTAAGACAAAAATCAAAAACGTCCATTTTCACTTTTGACAGTGTATATCTTTGCGAGTGAAATGGGGCCGTCAGATAAGCCGCCTATAAGAACTGTTTATGTTCATGTGTAGGCAATTGGCCTGTTATTAACATACACTGGTTATCTCTAATAAAAACAGCAGTGCATTTCCACAGTTTTGTATTGTTTCTGAATATCCCCTACTTTTTTTGAAGAGTATATTTTCTCGCTAGCACCTAATCAATTAATCAACCAGTTGTCTTTTTAACTTAGTTTGTGGCTTTCAGAATGAATGCCTATCCTGCTTTCAAACTTACCTTGTGTTGTGTTGTTGGTTTCCTTGGTAGTTCCACTCTTTAAATGGTTAATAACAATGATGTAGGCCTTGTTATTGTTGTTTGTTTTATTTAATTTATCCATAAGTGTATCCATTGAGGATGACGATTCTGATGAAACTATATCCTCTTTATCTTTTTCATTCAAACAGCCATCTTGTAAAAGAAGACTACATAGTTTCACAAAATCTACATTTTGAATATTTACTGTTTGTCTTAATTTTTCCAATTCGGCGATTTGTTGTTGTGAATCCGTCGCCGTCTTCAAATCTATCTCTTGTCCAGATGGATTAGATAGAGTTTCAAAACCTACACTTTGAATATCTACTGTTTGTTTTGATTTTTCCATTTCGGCGATTTGTGGTTGTGGATTTGTCACAGAGTTGACATCTGTCTCTTGATCCGATGGACTTTTCTTGTTATGTTCTTCCAACAATGTTTGGTTTTGGAGATTCAGTGCTTTATTCTCTTTTTCCATATTTTGTAACTTGTTATTCATTTCGTCAAATTCTTTCTCTCGCTCTTTAAATTCTTTTTCTCTTGCAGCAAATTCTCTCACCATAATTTGGAACTTATTATTAGTCGCTTCTAGCTCATTTTCTCTTTCCGTAAATTCGCTCTCGCGCTGTTTAAGTTGTTCTTCCTTCAGCTTGAGTTGTTGCTTAAGTTCTCTTTCTTGTTCTTCTTTCAGCTTGAAATGTTGTTTGAGTTCTCTTTCTTTCTGGTGGAGTTGTTGTTTGAGTTCCCGCTCTACTTTAGTTTTCTCATCTTCTTTCTGCTGGAGCTTGTCTTCGTATAATTTCTTAGCTTCCTCAAACATTGCATCTCTGTAGTGTTTGCCATTATTGTTTCTTTTTGTTTTCAGCAAGAGACTTAAAATACCATTAACATCATCAGGCCGTGGGTTTTTGTTGTCGATAAGAGAATATCGATTCCCACAGTAACCTTCCAAAAATTCTTTAAATTCTGGTTTAACATCTTCCAAATATTCATCAAATGTTCCATCCAGTGCATCTTTTTTTGTAAAAATAATCACTCCAAACTTTTCTAGGCATTCCCCAAATAATTCCTTGTATTTTTCCACAGTTTCCATGACATGTCCATCAATCCTATCTATTGGTAAAATAAACGAAAATATATGGGGTCCTGGTGCCAGATGAATCATACATTTTGCAAGTTCATTTTTAACGTTTTGGTGTGAAATTTTGGTATCTAATAATCCTGGGGTATCAAGTATTTTGAAAAGATACTTGTCACCGTCTACCTCTCTGACACAATGTTTACATGAATTACAGCTTGTAACCGAGGCAGCGCTTGACTTAGATAAAAATCTAGTATCTAGTGATAAATCCAACAAACTATTCCCCAGGGCACTTTTACCAACACCAGTTTTTCCAATTAATATCAACCGCACTTCCGCTTCTGAAATTGAGAACAAAAATCATAGGCATTTTGAGATTGCCTAAAGAGGGTAGGCAGACCAAACTTTGGTAGGGTATGGGGGTGGGTGAGGGGCGGGTCGATCTGAGGTATAGCTGATCCATGGCATACCATTCCTTGACACTTGGTTGAGGGATTATGATTAAGTCCTAAAACTCAGAAGATGAATTAGTAAATTGTTTCCATGGCATTTAGTAATTGAACTAGAGTATACAGGTCACAGGTCACAATTCTATGGAATACAAGTACATGTACTGCTTATTACTGACCAGAGAAGCCTAGTCGAAACGTCGCTCAGTAATTGTATTTCATAGAATTGTCACCTGTATATGAACATAGTAACAACTTGGTTGAAACAAGGGAGGGGTATCCGGAAAAGATTGGACAATATCAGCATATGGGCAATGGGAATATGGTAACATTGATGCAGGCATTTCTTTGAGTATTTGAGGTAACTCTTTCAAAATTTGAGGAAACTTTTTCAGAAAGGAAGGGACAAACCCCTATATCTTGGTTGGAACTCTCATCAGATTCAAGCATTATCAATCCTTTCTGGCTTCTTTTGTTTTATTTATGAGGGCAGGGAAGCAGCTTGCAAAAACTTATTATTCACACAAATAAGATGTTTAAGTGTTATATTCATATCATTTATGGGGGATCACGATGGCTAAGTGGGTAAGACGCTGGCTCGCTAGCCTGGAGATCGGGTGTTCTATCCCTGCATTGAGCGAGAGAAAGTTCATCCAGATTTTCCGGCGTGGTTTCCCCTTGTCAGTGATGCAGGACAGAGGGCCTGACAAGGACAGCTGTCTAAGTCATTCGGATGGAACGAAAAACCGGGGTCCCGTGTACATATTGGCGTGCACGTAAAAGATCCCTTGGCAGTTGAAATTCGATATGAGTAGGCCGTAGTGCCGTTGCCCGGGCAAAATTTCCCTCATAGCACACTGTATGGCGTATGCCCGTTTTCATTAGCCCAGTTTAGGAGCAGAACAGTAGGACGTTAAACCCCATTTCATTTCATTTATTTAAAGGAACAAATCAGTTCTTAGTAGGCAATACAAAAATGGTAATAAACTGTCCATTTCCTGCAAAAAATCACTGGACTAATGAAGACAGCTAGTAATTCGACATTAACTCAATAAATAGCTAAAAATATGATTACGAGAGAGAGAGAGAGAGAAATGGGGTTTAACGTCCACTCGACACAAACTAGGTCATTTCGGGACTAACATATGGTTTTAATTTTATTTCAATAATTCGCTTGCGCGTAGGGGTCTTTAGCAGTGGGAGGAAACTGGAGGACCCGGAGAAAACCCACGAGGTTGGACAGGCGACCCTACTCCTTGTCACGTACAACCGGGGATTCGAAACCACGCCAGTTGACTCAATGACAGACTTTATGATACAGCGCGCGCACACTAACCATTCAGCCATCCAACCCCCAAAAATATGATTACATTAACATGTGGGTGTATTAAAATAAAGGCCTATATTAACAACATGTGGGTGTATTAAAATCAAAATCTATATTTACATGTGGGTGTATTAAAATACATGTGGTAAGAAACAAATCCATTTATATTCATAACATGTAGAACAATAGGAGTTTGACTATTAGTTTTAGTTTTTAATTTGGAAAGACTTTTACCAAGAATCCCACATAACGGGAAGCTGTTGATTTAAGGTTAATTTTAAAATTATTCATTTCAGAATCTTGAGCTATCTGTAATCAATAAGTATTGAAGTAGGATCAGTTTGGAAATAGAAAACAAAGTTTCTAAACAAATGCTTTCTTAGAACAAAATAATACTGAACTTACTGACAATTTCTAGATTAGCTGGAAGTGAATCACTCATTCCGTCATTTACTGTAACTGTTAGAGTCACACAATTACACGTAAACACAGAATCTGACGTAACATGCACACGTAATTCATCATCTACAATGTAAAATATAGATCTAAATATAGTAACAAATATCTATCAATCACTCTAGTAACGTTTGATTATAGGACAGAAACAGCTAAATTGTACCAAATAAGACGCCAGATATCAATCCAATATACATCCATTGAACATAAATCAAGAAATGTATATCTGCTTCTTACAGCATATATCTATTCCAATTATATCTATGAGTGTCATTAAGTCTAGAAAACCAAGTTGATAAGTTGAAAGTTTACAGTTCTAATACCCAGTGAACAGTAGCATCAAAACACAAATAATTACTTATTTCTGCCTTCTTTTATTCAAACAAACATTAAGAGCTCTGCAAGAAATTAGGCACACTTGTTTTACATTTCCAATTCCATAGAAGTGCACATATTCCATGTCCCTCATTTAGACAATCTTTCAAAATATTGAATTGTATACATACATTCAGGATGGAGAGTGAAATATTGTTCAGCTTCTTCAGGATCCCAGCTCCATTTAAATTTGAGTGGTTGATTATTGGATGTTTCACCAGTTACAGTAAATATAAGTCCTTTACGTTCCTCTATGGCTACAGCATCCGGTAAATTGGTGATTTTACATGTTGTATTTACTGTAATATATAAATATTTAGAGAGAGAGAGAGAGAGAGAGAGAGAGAGAGCGAGCGGGAGGGATTAACATCCACTCGACAAACTAGGTCATTTCGGAACTAACATATGGCTCAATCTTATTTCAATAATTTGCATGCGCGTAGGGGCCTTTAGCAGTGGGAGAAAACTGGAGGACCCGGAGAAAACCCACGAGGTTGGACAGACGATCCTACTCCTTGTCACATACAACCGGGAATCGAAACCAAGTCAGTTTACTCAATAACAGATCTTACAAGGTTCCCGTGGCTTCGTCAAACATTTTTTCAAGGATAATTATACGTCAAATTCAAGGATTTTCAAGGACATTTTTTTAGCCTGAAGTTACAATTTTTCATCTTAAAAATAACCAAAACATTACCAACTATCGTTATAAAACTTCTAATCTAAACGGGATTTTCATATCAACTTACTATTATTACCAATTTGAAACAAAATTAAGGATCTCAACTGAAATTCAAGGATATTTTCCCATTTCCGCGAAATTCAAGGATATTCAAGACCTTGAAAATGAAATTTTAAATTTAAGGATATTCAAGGATTTTCAAGGGCCGCGGGAACCCTGTCTTATGATACAGTGTGCACAAGCTAGTCTTTCGGTCATCCAACGCCCCTATAAATGTTTAGATAACCCATCAAACTAGTACATAACATATTCAGTTAGTAAATAAATTATACTGGTTGCATGGAAGTTTTATACTTTGTTTTTCGCTGGTCCCATTTACAGTGACGATAGTAGGCATATTTTTAACCTAAACCCAATGATATTTGCTTCCATATGACTTATTTTAAAGATATATTAGTTTAATTGGTCCATTGGATGTTTCTTAAGTGTCCATCACGTGTTCAATCCAATCGCTATGCTAGGTTCCCACTGTTGTGCGATGTGTTACGATCGGATTGTCCCTATCGAGTCCACGATCTGGTAGGCGTAGATACGTTTCGATACAATCAACACATGTATGATAAGACCGGATAGGATCACCATGATTAAAACCACGGTTTCAATCGAAGCACAAACCCTGATACTGGGAACCTAGCATTAACACAGGGCTAAAAACACCCCGAAAATACGTATATATCTAATTAACATTACTAAGGCGGTGTTGAATTGATTCCTTGTTTCTCCTGCCACCACTTTGGCAATCATGTGCGGTAGTGCGGTAAACACAACACAAAGTGGGTTTCAAAACACAAAGTGGTCTGGCATAATACCTATATAGTCTGAGGGTTGTGTACCATTTTTAATAATATTATAAATAATCTAGTTATATTATTGGTTAGAATAAAAACACAGATAATATTTATTTAATTAAATAAATTTAATAACAAGCTAAAATTTGGTAACAAATTTGGCTTCTTTGATTAACTTTTTAAAAAATGAAATAACCATATTTTGATATAAATTTTCCGTATTCTTGTGTTACAAAATACAATACAATGGAAACATTCCAGTTAGACGAAATTTGATTCGCTTGTTGAGTTATAGATGGTTTCGACAATATCATCGAACGTGAAAGTGCTGGGAATACACACCAAAGACGAAATTTGATTCGCTTGTTGAGTTGTAGATGGTTTCGACAATATCATCGAACGTGAAAGTGCTGGGAATACACACCAAAGTCGAGTCGAGATAAGTAAATTCGCGTACCGGTCGGCCTAATTTATTGATGTTCAAGGAAATAATAGTGGTCCCGTTCGTTTGTTAATTTATTGATGTTCAAGGAAATAATACTAATAATAGTGGTCCCGTTCGTTCGTTAAACTCCGGAAACGAACTAACGGGACCACTATTTTTTCCTTGAACATCAATAAATTAGGCCGACCGGTACGCGAATTTACCTATGTCCCGGCATAGCTCACCATTTTGTAAGCGTGCGTTATTTATTACACAAGATATGATTGGGTAATACTTGAATAATAATGACGCGTTATAATTTTAGCCAATGAAAAAATTGATTATTCAGGTTCCCGGTTGAATATTGGCGACTGTCTTACAGTTTATAATATGCTTTCTCATTAGCCGAAATGACTGCTACACGCGCCATTTTGCGGAATTCATCCAATCATATACAGTGTAACTTATTCCATAGTATGCGGGCCCCTACATTTGTATTATCTACCGGATCCATTCACTTGATTTGATATTTGTTTATTCGGTGCAATGCCTATTTTCTGTCTTGTCCGCAGGTTTATCTTGTAGATTTTTCTTTTGCGTGTAGTGCGGCCCCCCCCTGCACTCACTTATTTAGTTCGTAACGAGGAATAAACAACGAGAATTGACTTCTGATGTTTGGTAGAATTTTTTTTAGATGTTATTAACGTAATTTTTTGAATATTTTTTTTTGTGTTAAAAACGTAAGCGCGCGATTTTCGGGGTCCTTGACCTAAGCGCGCGGGCGAGGAGAAACAAGGAATCAATTCAACACGGCCTAAGGGGAGATAATGAGAACCCCTGTTGACTTATTTAGTGCAACGGATTAGAAAGCCATATTTTGTCAATCCAATGAAAAGCATACTGTTCATCAGAACTTACCTTTCTGAAGTATATTCATTTCCGCCATGTCATCGATGGCCATGCGACCTTCTTCACTTGCCTTTTTGCTTGTCGTTTCCTGTGAGTATGCCATATTTATCTGATTATCTGAAACTATACAAAATAATTAGATGCCAACGGGGTCTCTAAAACCGTGCTTCTACGCAAACAAATGAAATGAAATGGAGTTTAACGTCTTACTGTTCTGCTCCTAACCTGGGCTAATGAAGACGGGCATACGCCATACAGTGTGCTATGAGGGAAATTTTGCCCGGACAGCGGCACTACGGCCTACTCTTATATCGAATTCCAACTGCCAATGTGTACACGGGACCTCGGTTTTTCGTCCCATCCGAACGACTAGACAGCTTCCCTTGTCAGCCCCTCCGTCCCTACGCAAACAAACATTTTGCCATGTCCAATCTTCCTATATTTACAAGAGCTGGAACGTGGAAAGACAAAATTGATAGTGCTCATCTTCTGATTGTCAGAATGCTTCACATCAAATATTTCAAAACAGTATTTGGGGTTGGGGTTGTATCTCTGGAGAGAGAGAGAGAGAGAGAAATGGGGTTTAACATCAACTCGACACAAACTAGGTCATTTCGGGACTAACACATGGTTCAATTTTAGTTCAATAATTCGCTTGCGCGTAGGGGTCTTTAGCAGTGGGAGGACCTGGAGAAAACCTACGATGTTGGACAGGCGACCCTACTCCTTGTCACGTACAACCTGGGAATCGAAACCCCGCCAGTTGACTCCATGACAGACCGTATGATACAGCGTTATTTCCCCGCAAGTACCTCCCGTACATATAGCGCTTATATTTCGAGAACTTTTGAGTCAGATTATTTGCATATATTGAGATCGATATCAAAGTATTATATATAATACAGTCGCTAGAAAATGAAAAAGTAATCTAAAATCGCAGATTGAATCACGAATGTCGGCTAAATTTCAGTCATGCAATGGCCTCCTATTTGAATTTCACGCTAAAGTCACGTGGCGTGAAATGTTTTCTCTTCGCGGGAGAATTGTCAAAATCGCATAGACGTTTAGATCTACTAGCCATGGATAAAAATGACGTACGTACCTTGTACAGCCAGTGCAGGTCTCTATAGAGTCGATAATTTTATCAGGTACGCTCATTACAATATACTTTTATTTACCCCAAGCAGTAATTAATAGCCTAATAAACACAGCACCACCATACTACCGGAATTAGAAGTTCCGTTCAAATTCAGCCAATCAATGAGGTCGATTTATACATGGAAGACAGGGGGTTACCTCCCTTCGTGAAAGCATGGACGTATTATAAAGTCCATGCTGAAAGTAAATCTAGCCTTTGTCTGCGATATCACCTCGGTGGAAGCGGACGTTAAATAAAACTAACTCACACACATAAATCTAGCCATTGAGTACATTGATCTAGTATTGGCAGGTAACCATTCTTGGGTTTATTGCTAAATGATAAGGCCAGCCCAATTTTTCGTCAGCGCCACCAACACCGAAAACAACTTTGTATATAAAATTATTTTTATAAAACCAGGGATTATCACGAACTAAATTTTCATCATCCTACTTAGTGCTATGTGGAGACCCAACCTCTCCCCCAAATTCCTAAACCTAACCTACAATCTCACCAACAATCACGTGCCCTAACCTTATTTACATATCAGCGACCTTGACAAAAATTGAGCTGGCCTTAACAAGTAGATTTAGCCCACTCTCCGTGAGAAATTTCCTCCCGTGCAGGAGATCGGGAAAAGGGTCGTGAATCCGTGAGTATCAGGGAAAAAAACAGGTTAGTTGACAAGTCTGTGTGCTTGGCGTTTAGGAATTAAATTGGTTTAAATTAATATTACGAAAACTTATTTTATTAAGATAAATAGAAATTACTGATCGTTTTTAGCTGAAAAGTAGCCGAAAATTGGCCTAATTTAAACGGCGAAATTTGCCAGAACTGCTGGCTTCAAATGACATCCCTGATATAACAAAAAACCCAACAAACCCTCTCATCGTACAACCAAAAAAGTACAATAATAATCTGTTAGAGGCATTTAGTAACTGGATCGAGCAAATACACTTATGGAAAAACAGCTATTAATTTATTTGGTTGAAGGGGATACTGCCACAGCTCCAATGATGACGATAATAATCTTTAATGCCTGTTACATTCTAGTAGCTGTTTTTCCATATAATATGTGCATAGTTTAATACGATACATATTAAACTAGATTTAAAGAAAATATTTTGTGCTGTCGTGTTTGAATGATAATGATAACCTTACCAGAATAACTGTACTTTACACTAATTTTATCGGCTTCTACAGATGATATTTTACATCAGGGGATGAACGAATTAATATTTATACTGCCAGTGATATATAGTATCCTGCGTTCTACGAGACTCGATTACACAGTCTCTAGGTGTGCAATGTTTAAATTCATGTATGAATCACTGATGTCTATAAATTTATGAATATGGAAATAAATGACTTGATAACAAGAGCTATTAAACTGGTTTTCCCCTTACCATTAATAGATATTGAGTCACATGTCACATGTTTCAAGGAGTTTAAAGGGAGTTTCATAGTTAATCCAAATGGCAATTGGTGTGGAATTTACCTGTTTAAAATGTTTATTTTAATAAATAGGCCATGTAGACTATATACCGGTATACTAATACTGACCTATATATATATTACAATATATATTCAATTAACTACCATAATACTGACTCTATATGTTAGTTAAAATATGCGACTGGTATACATAAATCAGTAAGTCAAAGACAGAACCCAACGTGTCATAATCATCTGATAATCTGATAAAAAAATATTGAAGGAGGTTGATCATTTCGATTTTGTTCTAGGAATGATCAAACGAAGTAACAGTTTGTGAGGTTGGCGACATTCGTAGTAGTCCCAATCCTCAGAGAGAGAGAGAGAGAGAGAAAGAGAGAGAGAGTTTCATGTCCACTCGACACAAACAAGGTCATTTCGGGACTAACTTTGGTTCAATTTTATTTTAATAATTCGCTTGCGCGTAGGGGTCTTTAGCAGTTGGAGGACCAGGAGAAAACCCACGAGGTTGGGCAGGCGATTCTATTCAATCCTCAACTACACGGCAGGCTTAAAAATTACAATATTACACACCATTTTGTCTGAGATAGCAACTCACCTTTTACAGTCCTCTATCCTAGAAGCTCACTTTTTTTTTTATTTAAAACGTTTTATTGATCAAGAATTTTAGTCGCTTTAAATGACAAGAAGATATACTTATTGGACGGAAGTAAAACTACTCCACATAAATGTTTATCAAACTGATGGAAATATTCTAATATTTATACGAAATTGTCTTTTTGAAGTCAACACAGCCCTTTATCCTAGAAACTCACCTATTTTATTTTTACTTTTATTCTATGTCCAGTAAAATATTTCGTCCCCTGTTTATTGGCGACTTTGTATAATAATTTCTTCCCTGTTGATGGTTTCGGGTTTGCATGCAAGGGAGATAAATCTTTTTGACAAATCAGGATTTAGACCAGTAATTTTCTGCACGAACATGTCGCAATCATCTGATAAAACTAACAGTGTAAGGACCTCCTTATCCCAGGTTGACGTGACTATGAAGACAGTTAGTAATTTAATGTCCACATTTTGGCCGCGTATCAGAATTATCTATACGACCTAGATCATAGTTCACAAAACCTCTACGTGCATTGATAACTTCGCGCATATGGTACCTTCACAGGGATGAGAACAGTACACCAATCTTAATTCACTTTTCCTTAATATTACGTTTTCATGTATTTGTTGCTTCCTTGTAGTTTTTTATTTACTTATTTAGCCTTTGAGGGCAAAATGAACACAATGATATTATAAAGGGCTAGATTACAGGCAGTCACGTTGCATTTTATTTCACGTGTAAATATTGGAAAACCGTCTTTGTATGTTTTTTTTTTATCATATTCTATTATTAACCATGGTAACATATGGTTCACAATTTATATTCGTTAGTCCATGTTCAGTTTGAGCTCAAAAATGTTGACTGCACTCTAATATGCGCGCTAAATTATATCTATTTTTCATGTATGAACGTAAACTGCATATCTAAGCTTTAAGGCCTAAATCAAACAAGCAAATGATTAGCTCAATTTAGATGTAACTAATTAACATCTAAATGACAATTCGTCAACTACGCCCGCTTATCATGGAATATGTGTCGCTGTAATATTATAGGGTTATTTTAGTTCCAAGAAAGGTGTTCTGTTTAATATAGAAATTCATTACCTACATGATGCGTGACGAGAACTAGGGTAATGAAGTAGCTTGCATTATTCTACTACTTTCTTAGACTAACTCACCAACAGTTATGTCAGCATCCATTGCTGGAAATAGGGTATTATCTTTCAGGCAACTGCTGCACAGATTAGTGCAATTAAATGGAATAGTGTTGACGTTAAACGGTGCCCATAGCCCATACAAAACACTTACCCAAAATGATAATTGTCCCGCCCTAATAGCTGACGCATTTACTTTCTATATAAGAAAGAGTGAGTTTTATTTCACTTCAGACATCATGATGAGAATGTAGAAAAGACATAATCCGTGAGTTCCTGGGGGAACGTCATATACACAGCCGTCTCGGCTGAGATAGAGACAAAATGTGATGTTTAAGCCGTTCGGTTTGAGTTATTAAGGATGTTAAACTGAGACCGTGGATATTTCAATAACTCCTAAAGTATCTCTAATAGATGTTGTAGTTTTCCTGTATTTGTTATATTTGTTACTAGCAGGATACCCGGCTTCGCTCGGGGGTCATAATTTCAAAACCGGAAGTGGTAGACTAACGCCACCTGGCCTATGCTACTCCCCAGTCCGAGCTACCCCTATACCCCAAATTTCAGACTCGGGGCAGACCTAGTGTAGCCGCCAACCCCGAACAGACCGGCTTCGCTCGGGGGTCATAACTCCGAAACCGGAAGTGGTAGACTAACGCCACCTGGCCTATGTTACTCCCCGGTCCGAGCTACCCCTATGCCCCAAATTTCAGACTCGGGGCAGACCTAGTGTAGCCGCCAACCCCGAACAGACCGGCTTCGCTCGGGGGTCATAACTCCAAAACCGGAAGTGGTAGACTAACGCCACCTGGCCTATGTTACTCCTCGGTCCGAGCTACCCCTATACCCCAAATTTCAGACTCGGGGCAGACCTAGTGTAGCCGCCAACCCCGAACAGACCGGCTTCGCTCGGGGGTCATAACTCCGAAACCGGAAGTGGTAGACTAACGCCACCTGGCCTATGTTACTCCTCGGTCCGAGCTACCCCTATACCCCAAATTTCAGACTCGGGGCAGATGTAGCCGCCAACCCCGAACAGACAGATTTCGCTCGGGGGTCATAACTCCGAAACCGGAAGTGGTAGACTAACGCCACCTGGCCTATGTTACTCCCCGATCCGAGTTACCCATATACCCCAAATTTCAGACTCGGGACACCTAGTGTAGCCGCCAACCTCGAACAGACAGACAGACAGACAAACGACAGTCTCAAATATATATATAGATATAAACTTAGTAACAACATAAACGGTGTTCCAGAGTCAGTTAATTGATGATTGAAATAATTGATCCCACAAAGTGAAGTCAAAGAAAGTCCGAGGCGATAGTGTCACATCTACCCCGTAGTGCCACATCGCCTCCTACAATAACGCGATTTGCAAATAGTGAGTTAGCCCCCCCCCCCCGCCCCCATATCCTTTTATAACTCATAGATCAATTGTAAATCCATTGACATAAAATTGTACATTGCAATGTTTTTGTATTTTAATATGATTTATTACAATACAATATTGGAACTTAAACTCTCTCTCCTGTTTTTAATTCAAGGAACACGAAAAAATAAACTACGGCGTATGACACGAATACGCCCCTTTAAATTTGGTGGAGCATTGTCTTTAAAGACACCGCATGAATCCAGATAATCAAGAAACAGGAGCGACACCAGACAACTATAAGAACACAATTTTAACACTTGGTGCTGCGGCCTGTACGTCATCAACGTCGAGTACAAATACGGTGGTGCAAAGTGCATTAACAACCGTCTACATCAACGCAACTGCCAAAACAGGACAATGAATTCAGTTCGCTTTACAATTCCCACGCTACACTATGGCTCACAAATGTGGAATTGTATAGC